ACAGGGTTTCTCTTATATCTTTCCTTGGATGCTGACATAAATCCTAAACCTGCTTCCTTTGATTCACTTAACAATCTCCATCTCCTGAAGACTTTAAACCCCCATGCTAATAGATTTCCATGGCTGAGCTTGATTGCTTCCCTGATCTCTGCAAGCAGTCCTTTGACACTCTCACTAGCTCTCTCCATAATGCCCCAAGTAGGTGTTAGTAAGCCCAAGTGTGCTTATCACCTAGTCCAGGATTTCCAGAAAAACATCCAGGCAAATGTTCACACCTTTCCTGTGGTTGATAATCTGTTAGCATGCCTTTTCTTCACTTCAGATGCATGCTCTGTCTGCATGTATGCCAGAAGAGAACATCAGTTCCTATTATAGATGGTTGTGAGGTACAGTTGCTGGGAATTGAATTCAGGACTTCTGGAAGAACAGCCTGTGCTCTTAACCTGAGTCATGCCTCCAGCTCCCCTAAAACTTTCTAAGAAAGAAGAGATTACCTCATAATCAAAAATTACATATTTTTCAAAAACAAATTTAAATCATTCATAAGAAGAAATCACATTAAGATCAGAAATTATAGCCATGTGGTGGTGGTGCACACGGTTAATCCCAGCACTTGGGACGCAGAAACAGGCAGAGTTTGAGACCAGCCTGATCTACTGCAGGGTCTTAGTCCATCCAAATGAAGACAGACTGGGTCCTAGGAAAGGTAAGTGCACTGCTTGCTGGCCCTTTCCCCAGCCTCCCTTAATTCTGGAAACAGTCAAATGAAGCAGAGTCAAGTCAAGCAGGAACTCATTTATTATTGAGCAACAAGCATCATTTAAAGCAAAAAACTCGCAGAATCTTTCATGTGTGTGTGTGTAAGAGGAGCCAAACAATCATTTTAAACAATCATTTAATCATGCGCTCAGGTGTCCTTCATTTACCCTATTGTCCATGAGCTGTTCATGTGCTCTTGTCACCTTGCCTGACTTCTGTGTCGAATAGGGTCTAAGGGTAAACAACTTGGGACCTGCCTGTCCAAGTTCCTTTCGGGGCCATCCTTGTCGCCCATGTGCCCAGTAATCTGTAAGAGCTAGGACTGTTACACAGAGAAACCCTGTATTGAAAAAACGATCAACCAAAAAAATGAAACCAAAAAAGATCACAACGTATGTGTTTTTATTAGAAGCCCAGAATGAGTTACATAGCATCTTCACACCAAAGCCATGATTTTTATTTAGTGGAATAAAACCATAATTTTATTAATAGTTTCAAAAACACTTAAAACTCCCTTATTTAAAGCCATCTTTATATAGCTGGTCTCCCTATTTGCTATCACAGTTCACCTTTCCTCTATGACACTTTATGATTTATAATTGCTTATTATGAATTCACTTAAGCTGTCTACTGTTCACTACAAAAACTTCATACTACACCAAAAAACAAACAAACAAGCAAAAAAAACCCCATAAGCACACTGTGGTCTCTGGTTAATTACGACAATACTCACATGGAAGATGCTCTAGAAGCTGAAAAAGAGACTGAAGCTTGGGCTTGAGACCTCAAGTATGCAATTTCTTGGTTCCTTGCTCATTAAAATCACGGTATTGTAACCTCTATCAGGCCACAGGGAGAGAGCAGGAGAAATAAATGTTCTGATGTATAGAGCAGGTTCTGGTTCCACTAAGTCACTAAGGCGCATGTATGAGGAGGTAAACAAGAACACATGAATAATGTACAGCGATGACATCTGACGATAATTTAGAGCCAGCATCCTAAAATTTCACCACAAGACTGTTAGATCTCTTTCTTGGTAGAAGGGAAAAAAAAGGAAGAAGGCAGCCCTGAATTAACTCTATTTCATTTCAAGGTAATGGAAGAAAGATGTAAAGTCTGTCCGTGGTCCACACTGCCCAAAAATTATTTTTGGTTTGCTGATCTTTCTATTGGTACAAACCTTGAGAATTCTAATCCTCCTCACTTCCTCCTTATGGTACTTTCACTCTTCTCCAAGTAAGAAAAAGATATCACATGTAGTAAACGTGCAACTCGTAATGGTCAAAACAAACTGTAAGCCAGACCTTGCAAATTTGTTGGGACTGGAATATTCTCTCGTCCTATTTTGTTTGTTGAAATCACCTTAGTCGTGCAGGGGCTGGCTACATGCCACTCTTTCTGACTGTTCTACAAGTTCTATCACCTGGGTTTGTTCAGGGGACTTCCTTCTGGAGAGCTCGGCAGGGCCTGCACTGAGGCTTTCAGCTGAGGAACTCGACTGCAGTGACTCTATCCAGGTTCATATTTTTATGTTTTTTTCCCCCTCCCATTTTACCAAAAAGCGATCTTCTAAGGCTGAGAACACTGAACTGTAAAGTTGACAAATAACAGGGCCTTTGAAATGACCCCAATGCGTGACAAAAATCTCACTTAACAGTCAAGGCTCTTGTTCGGGCGGAAGCTCCGCCACAGGCCCTGGCATCCTTAATCTCATCCTCTCCCTTGGCTATGCCACACCTCAGGAGTGGTGAAGACTTGCAGGGTGTAATGGTGACTATATGACGTCACCGCAGAGACCAGAGTCCTTAAAAGGATGTAGCTTGACAGAACAAGTGAGGCTCGTGGAGGCGGGACTAGCGGATGACTGATCTCCACTCCCACCAATTGCCCCTCTTATTCTCCCTCAAGGCAACCAATAAATGAGAAGTAACTACGGGAAAGCTCCGCATAGTCTACAGGAAGCTCCGCCCCCTACGCTAGGCACACGGTAGCCGCTATGCTTACTGTGGATATCTGTTCTCTGGCAGTTTGCTCTCTTTTGACTTTCAGACGCCCTCAATGAATTCCTTCCTCAGCATTTCTCACCTGTGAATAACGACTTACACTTCTGCTTCTCCCCAGCTTTCCGCTTGTCCAGCCACACCAAAGATGGCAGCTGGAGGCTGCGGGTGTGGCGAGACATTTCCGGCGTGATGACGTCAGCACGTAGCGTGTCCGCTTGTGCAGGCAGAAGGGGAAGTTTGGGCAGTTCTTGTGGTTATTTCGGAGGGTGGGACAATGGGAAGTAGCAGAGGAGGCTGAGGCCGGTTCCTGGGACTGAGCTACGGACTGCTGGACGTGGACCTCAGGAGGCGAGGTCGGCCGAAGATGCGCGTCTTGGGCCCGCGCTTGACCCTTGCGTCCCGGAGTCCTGCACCCCAAAATTGGGCCACTCACTGGTTGAGGATGGCCACTAGGTGTTGGAATGCTTGAGGCCAGTTGATGAGAGCGGAACTCCCTCTCCAGGCTTTAGCTTTGCTGTTCGGTCAATTGAACTCCCTAAACTCCCTTGCTGACTGTAGCTCCTCTGACATGGGCACTGGCAGAACCCCACTTACAAGCCCACACTTAGCAGAAGCAAAATTCCTACCCTCCACACAGCTTCCCAATGGCAGAACTAACTCTTCCTACCTGGGCTTCCAGTCTTACACTTGCTTCCAGTCTTAAGAGTCAACGTATACACTGGTTTCAAATACATCTGCAGCATAACACATGCAACACCTTAATCTGGAGAGAAAGGGGTTTCCTAAGCAAAAGGAAATATCAATAATGAACTCCCTTTTCATACAGAAACGAAGCAATTCTTCCTAAGCAGCCCTTGCCCACTGCAGGCTTCAGCAAAAAAGACAAATGATTCTTTTCTCAAAAACAGGCTGACCAATGTCCCAACAGACTACCCTGTCATGTCCTACCTCTGCTCCAACAACAACAACACCATCTCCAGAGCCAGTCTTGTCCACTCAAGACACTGCTTCCCACAGCTGTCACCACACACAAGGCACTGGACAATAAGTCTCGGCTTCTGGGCTATGGATGTCTTTTCTGTCCCTAGAAAGGTTGCAGCCAGTTTCTTCCAGTGGGAATTTTGTCTCCTCCACATTTGCTCATCTACCCACATGGCATGGAATGCATGGTCCATCCTTCCATGCAAGTGAGATGTGATTCCATGTGAGAGAGTGGGGTTAAAGGGATCTGCATGTCAGTGGATCTGCTGACATTTTTAAGTCCAGCCTGTAAGAAGAGGTTAACTTGATGGAGGTTAATCTCACATAGGCACGGCCTGTTAAAAATACTGCCTTTTGAATAACTGGCTGTCTCTAACTGCAGATTCTCTTGTGTGATAACATGCTCCCCTAAAGTGTATTCCTCATATGCTGGGCATAATTTTCCTGTGTGCAGTTAGTAGGATGACTGTTAGGATTCCAGCATTATACTGACACTGTCCCTCCGTACCCCCTCCCTCCCAGTCCACAGGCATTCATCACCCAGTCATCCCAGGGGCCCTGCGACCATAGGTCACCAAGTCATGTAATGTCATGAAATGTCATGTGTTGCGTGGCTATGTCATGCATTGCATGGCCACATTATGCGTTGCGTAGCTACGTTATGCATTGCGTGACTATGTTATGCATTGTGCGGCTGCTTAATTAAGTCTCTGTACGCATGTGCAAGTTTTCCTTTTAAACAAGCTCCGCCTGCCTGTTCACTGGCTCTGGGTCCTCTTTCTGGGTAGCCATACTTCCTTCCCCTTGCCCCTGCCCTTTACTAATAAACTCAGACAGGGGTGCGGGGAGAGGTGGGTTGTTGAGTTCTGTGGTTTATTTCTCTCCATGGCAGTTGCAGCCTAACAACAACGATGACTTTTTCCCTAAACTGTGTGTTCTAACAAATAAAATAAAAGTCAAACATTTTATCTCACACTGCAATAATATAAAACGTAGAAGTCCATTCTCTAACTCCCTCATACTATGATTTGTCCAGATGTAAGAACTTGTGGAGTAATCACAGGAGGACTATCACAGAGCGGAACTGCAGGTGTCTGGCCTTGCTAAATCTAAGCATTTTAAAGATTCATGACAAATTAGGGTGGTATTACAGGTGTCAAAAAAACAGCACCTAACTGACTAACCATGTCCAGATATTATTAATCACACTTAAGAATTGTAAATTAATGCTTGTATTCTTTGCCTTTTCCTTAGATCTTTCCATGGTTTAGTTTTCTCCTTCTGGAACCTGTAGGGAGCCCTTTAAGAGACGGTGGAAACATACCCACAACAGAAGCTGTGATTAGCTACAAACTAGCTGATAAGATTTGCTGTATATTTTCTAAAAATGCCTGTGTCCCTGCTAATTTTCCTTGTAGTTTTGTTTTTCTTTTCTACCAAGTTGCTACTGAATGGTTTTATTATATATAGATATATGATTGGGATTTTTTTTAACAGTATAAGAAATAAGATAGGGAAGAAATAAGATTGGAAGTGCAAAGAATTAAGGAAAATGAAGATGAAGATGGAAAAAAAGAGAAGAAAAAGGTAGAGTATTTAGAACAAGAATGAATTGGAACAGAGATTTGTAACAGAGAATTTGAATTGGACTTAAAATTTAGACAGAATTAGAGCTAAGAAATTATAGACAATTAGATCAAAAATATTAGAATTAAAGCAAAACAATAAAGAGTTTTCCCCCTGAGATCAGAGCTAACCAAAGACCCCTTTCCCTATGCTGAGGTAACCTAACTGAACCCTGGGAGGAAGTCAGAAGAGCAGGACTGTGTTGGCCTTCCATATGATATGACTTCTTCCCCACATTTCCACCAATATAAACACATTCCTCAGTGAAGGTCAGACTTGCTTCTTTTTTGCTTCCTTTTTTGACTCCTTTAATCTGCCCTTAGTAAGCCTATGCACTCCTCCCCCACAACCACCACCCACAAGCTGCTCTCCTAATTTACCTGCATTCCCTGTTCTAATCAAGCTTCGCTCTTCTATCTGAAGTTGTCTCCTCGTCTCTTCCATTAACTGTTGATTTCTAGAAAGGCTAGTGGAGTCGAATGAAATATACAGAGTAGGCATATCTACCTTAACACAAACCGACTAGTCAACAAATTACCACTTAGCCAGACCCCTGGTTCAGATAATCAGAGAGGCCGATGGCATAGGACCAGAAACAAATTATGTCCACTTGGCTCTCAAGGCAAGGGCATCAAATGGGACGTACTTTGAATGCCAGGACTGCTCTTACACTAGGTACCCTAGAGGGAAACGTGTTACAGTCTTCCTCGCTCCAGACTCCGGTGTTCTCCCGGCTTGGGAAACCTATTAATATCTTGTTCATCATTTTAGGAAAAACAGAAGCCTCATTCTACTTCCATACTGCTGGAGAAGGCCCTAGAGGGGCTACTACCATTGGCGCAGCCACAGGACTCCAAGAGGTACAGCACAGCCAACTGAGCAACTATATAAAGGAAGTAATGACCCTGGTACAACAAAGCACAGCCATGCTACAAACTCAGAGATTCCCTGGCTGTGGTGGTCCTCCAAAACCACAGGGGTTGGACTTAAGAACTGCAGAAAGAGTGTGCATCTGTTCTTCCTAGGCAAGGAATGCTGTTTTGATGTGAGTGAACCTGACCTAGTAAGGAGAAATGCTAGACAATTACTAGAAAGAAACACAAGAGATAGAGTAGATAATACTTTCTGGAAGGCCCTCTCTCTGCTTGGGGACTGTCAGTAGTCCCCTTGGCAGGCCTAATTGTAATAATTGTGCTAACTTTCTTGTGTGGTCCTTGACTTTTTAACTTCTCATTAACTTCCTCCAACAAAGACTCCTTGATTTTCCTGCCCAGAGCAACACTGGACTCTCCATACCCCCAGACTAGCAGCTTTTATCTATCCTGGAAGCCTCTCAAAATGCCCATTCCACCTTTGGGATCCACCAGCAGTCTCTCAAATGTCAACTCCTTTCTTCCATTTTCTTTTTTTCCCTTCTAGAGTTGGGATATTTTGAGGAATTGAGTCAGGATGCAATGGGCTGTGTGTCCCAAGTCATAAAGAATTCTTTAGCCCTAGAGTGACTGTTCAGTTCCATCTGCAGAAACAGTATGCCTGGCAATGAAAATAACTCATCTGTTCCGGATCAATCCATAAACACAGTTGTAACTTTCTGGTAGCCACACACACACGCACACACACACACACCAGCCACTCTAAATGTGCTCAACCTTCATGCCTAGTCCAATACAGCTGTCTCAGCCTGCTGATTCCCAGAAAGTCACTTCCATTGTGTGTGGAAACACAACTCTCACCTCAGAGGAGGTATGAGTTTACTCTGGAGACAAAATGAGTGAACACAGATTTAGATTTCCCCAAATTCCATTTTCTGAGGTGGCAATGGAGTCTTTACAGTCACACAACAGTGGAAGTCACACGTGAAGACACTTTTCAAGCACATTGGTAGAAATACCAGAGTGGCAGTTAAAGCAAAGTTGGGGGGGGGTCGTTTGCTAAAGGGGTCAGATGGAACCCTATGATGCTCTTAGCCTTTGGTTTTGTGGGAGCTGTCTGTTAATATATTGCGAGGAAAGCTAGTCTTTTGAGTACCCTGATGGTCATAAAGGTGAGAGACAGAGAAGAGCAATAAGTTAATATTGAGAGGGCTCTATTGAAGGAGGGCTCATTTTCAGAGACCTGATGCTCTCTTTGGCCTCCAGGAGTACCAGGCATTCACAGGTGTACATACATATGTTCAGAAAAACACAAATATGCATAAGATAATATACATTTAGTTTTTTAGATTTTCCCATATGATGGAGTAAATGTTTTTTATTCTTTTTTTAAAATTGAGTTTATTGAGCTATATATTTTTCTCTGCTTCTCTTCCCTCCTCTCCCCTCCCCAATATACATTTTTTAAAAGAGGGCAAAAGGTGGCTCTGAACTCATAGGGTTGCACATCCTCTCTGGTCACTCAAGTGCAAACAGCCTTGTAGAAGGGTCTGTGGAAGGTGCTGCTGCTTTCCAGAAACTTCCCTTTTCACAAGGCTTGAAAAGAGACTGGCAATTACATCTCACCCTTCTGCAGTTTGTTTTGCTTTTAGTTTGATTTGCCCAGGACAGTGAAACACCCCCTGTCGTCCTACCTTGGCAGCAGAGAAAAGTGTGTGAAGTTGCTCTAACTTAACAGCATTTTGTGCTATCAAAATCTAAAACATCTAAAAATCTAAGTTCCCTTTATTTCCTTTGCAGTACACATTTCATTTACTGTACACATTTCCTGCAGAGTCCCTCTCCAAATTTGTAATTCCTACAAGAATCAGATTTTATGCTTTTTTTTTTTTTAATGTCAAAGGGGTGAATACTCAGGATGATTCACCAGGCAACAGACAAACCACAGACCAGCTGGGCAGAGCTTACTTAACCACGCCCACATGCTTTCTTGGTCTGTTTTCAGATGTCCATCTCATTCATCCGAGTCTCTTTGCTTCATCAAGACAATAGGTGGTATATAGCCTTCATAAAAATGTCAACTGCGGAGTCCACCTCCCCGGATCGCGTGGAAGAAAACCGTACGTATTTAATGAATCGTTAACTAAATTAAAGGGAGAAAGGGGAACTTTACCAAGGGAGTGGAATCTTCCTCTCTTTAGCCTGCCACAGGAGTCTCTCCAGATGGGTTGAGGCAGCGGGTGGGGAACCCTGGGTTGTGTAGAAACACACCCGTGCAAGTCTGTATTCTGTTATGGCGAATGTTACTTAAATATGTTTGGGGAAGAGCAACCAACAGCGAACTTGTTGAACCTGCACTCTTTAAACTCCCGCCAGAGTGAGGCACAGAGTGCCTGTTTTGACTGAAGTAGCCAATGAGGCTGCCTTGCTCACTGTGATTAAAAGAACTGTAGCCCTGCATGGTAGGTGTTAAGGTTCAACAAGCTGCCCATCAGATTACATTTCCCCATAGTCTGACTGACATTTACAGCCTCCTGGCCCAGCCACTCATACTTGATGGAGAGATACCTGCTGCTGCAGGGAGAGATAAACAGCTCTTCTGAGTTTGTAAAGCAAAGTAGGTGTCCGGATTCCTAGAGGACTGGCTGGAGAAACCTGGGCATGCTCAGGCATGTCGCTGCCATCCAGTGCCCCTAAAGTGCCCCTGCTCACACCTCCCCTCCACCTTCTTTTCTGGACTCCCGTAGTAGATCCCCCCCCACACACACACTGTGTGCTTTTTCATCCATAACCTCCAGGCTGTCAGAAATTCTCCCCTTCCCTTAGCACACAGGTATACTCCTTCAGGTCCTAAATGATTCCATGGCATCAGGGAACAATCTCTGTTCTACTTTACCTAGTGCTGCATCCCAGCATTTTCAGTAGGTCGGGGATGGAAGATTGATCCCACCTCTAAATCCATCTACAGTTTCAGTTTATGGTAAATGATGGGAAAAGGACATTGGAGATTGCTATTTTAAAACCGTATTCTCTCATTTTGGAAAATGTTTATATTTCATTCTTTAAATCTCTTTCCCTTTAGTTTAAAGCTTTTAAAATTCATTTTATGTGTATGTGTGTTTTGCCTGCTTGTCTGTGCACCACATGTATGCCTGCCGCCCACAGATATCAGAAGAAGGTGTTGAATCCCCTGGACCTGGACTTAGGCAATTGTGAGCCACTGGGTGGGTGTTGAAAATGAACCGAGTCCTCTCTCTACAAGAGTAGCAAATGTTCTTCATTGCTGAGACATGACTATACTCCTACTTTAATATTTTTGCTTAGGAATAGAATACTTCTTGAAAAACAGAGTTCACAATCATTGTTAGCTCAAATATCTAAAGGCAGCCTCAGGAGATCAGGCTAAATTCCTCTAGGTGGACAGGCCCCTGCTGTGGTGGAATACTGCTCTGGGTGGTGGGGGACAAACTGAAGAGGAAAGCCTTCTATCCCGTGCCATCCAGTGCGCACCTAAAGTACTCTGCGTCCGCACCCAGCTAGACCTCTCCTTTGGTAGAGCAGCAGGTATGTCCTCTGTTGCCCTGACTTTAAGAGTTGCGGCACTTAGGGGCCACCGAGTCACATATTCCTCATGGTAAGCCAGAGCACCTGATGTGCTGGGGAACATTAAAAAGTAAAGATTTCCTTCCATCTCCAGACTTGTCTATGGGCTGAAAATGGCAGCCAAGTTCTCACGGCAGTGACCAGTTCGTAAAGCAGCTGACTTAGGTGAAAGTTGGGGACCCAGCTCTCTCGAACTCACTGCAGCCTCCCTGACGCTTTCACCTCCTCTGACTAATACCAAAAGAGAAAGCTCATGAACAATACTACTGTTTCTCAGCTAAACCAAGCATTTCTGAGGGAATAGGGGCTAGATAAATTCCGTGAAGGTCTTAAGAGAGCCCATGACTAAGCAATAAAGATGGTGAACTTCCAAGATGGTGGTTTCTTCATCACCTTCCAGACCTGAGACAAAACCTAGGGCTGCTTAAAACAAAGGTCTGGCAAGCTCTTTCTCCTGCCAGTGGGGCCCCCTGCTGGTGAACCAGATGGAACAGCTCACAGCTCAATGTCGAACAGGATGTGTTTTTTGATTGACCCATTAAAATAAACAATCACCTTGCTTTATTTTGGTGAATGTAAGTCCCTGTCTCTGGTCTCCCTCTTTGGAGGTCCCATCCCTGTACCCGCCAAGCTTTGACCCCTCCCCGGAGGAGGGTCAAGACAGCCAGCCAAAATCTTGATCACTTCCCCAATCTACTTAAACTGCTTTCCCAGACCTTTCCCTTGTGGTCTATTTCCTTCCTCCTGTTCCTGGTTCACCCTCGGAGCCACCCTAGAGCGCAGGAATCCTATTAAACATGGATATTTTTTAATTTGGCTGTCGTGATTTGGCTTATTGGGATTTTTGCGTTGGCAGAGAGATCACAACAGGAAAATTTCTTCAAGGTGAATATATTAAACTCCTCATCTACTTTTAGTAGCACTGTATGTTATTGTGAGCTGTACTCATCCCACTATGCCTTTTAACACCAGATCTGACACCACTTTATTGAAAATATTGTCTACTTCCTCTCTACCTCCCCAAGAGATATTTGTACTTGATTGTGTATTATTGTAAGTGTTGTAAAATGGTGGGAGAGAGACCATGGTGGACCAAGGGGCCAGGAGGCAGGTGAGAGTCAGAGGCCTCATGGGAGACAAATACTCCATGCAGTCTGTGCTGGAAAGAGATTGAGAGTTGGCAGAGCTTGTCTCTTAAAGAGATAGCAACTGAATATAGACTATGTAGTGACATAACAGCCATTGGAACCTGGGCTGGCCAGGGTACTACCTGGGTTCATCCTGCCAGATGACAGGGGCCAGCATAATGACTGAATCCCAACAGTAACACAGTATTAGAATCAATACAGTTTCTGTGTGATTATTTTGGGTCTGGGAGGCCCAGAAATGAACAAGCAGTGTCTGACTACAAACACTGTTCACAAAAACCAGTACTTGGAACCCACCTACATTTATCAGTGACTAAATTGGGCAAATTGTGATCCATATTCCTGTTGGGGATCTCCAGTTGGGGACCCATCCACACTCTGGTCTTGCTCCTCCAATTCAAGGCCCAGTCCCCTCAGAAAGCCCGCCAATCAGCAGCCCTGCCTTTAAGAGAGCCCACCAAATGTCAGTCCCTTTCTGGGGTTGCTCAATACCATGCCTATGGTCACCACACTCTCAGATGCTTTCTCCCCTGCCTTCCCAAGAGCAGGGAGGTGCCTTATTATGCTCAATTTAAACCTGCACTTATTATTTGTCTTGATTGACTTTTGTATTGGTGGCAGAAGATACCCAAATGTGGAATTCTAAAACTTATCATCTCCCATATATAATGGAATTCTATGCACCAATAAGAGAGGATGGGGCAGCTATCTTTGGTGACAACGTGGGTGTACATGGGTGACATGTTGAGAGATGTTAGTCAGGCATTAAAAGCCTAGTACTCCTTGTCAGACAGAGAACACTAGCTAAAATCAGACAGGAGTTTGTATTATTTTTTTGGATTTGGAAAGATTTTTTTTAAAAGCATGATACAAAACTAGAAATAACAAGGAAGCCTATATATTCAAAATGTGAAGGAGTCTAGAAATCTCCCAAGATTTCCTTTCTATAGGGGGTGTGAGGAGCTAGGAGGAGAAGCCAGGGGGAACCAGATTGCTCACAGGCTGAGAAGTGCTGGAGCTGGAATGAGCACATGAAAATTATTGTACTACTTTCTATATTTTTGTATGACTGGAAAGAACGAAAAGGGAGAGTTTTGTGTGGACCCAGAATCCAAAGGCCAAAGTTTAGTGCTTAAAGCTTTCCAGTCCTACATGTCCTTCTATGCTATTAATGGGATAGAGGGTTCCTGATATTTTTAGATGTGTGAAAATAAGCAAAATGCAATGTTCAAACTCAGTGGGAATTTTGTAAAAGTTTAATTTTCATTCAGTAAAATTAATTCATTTGTTATAAATTCTCATAGATTTTGAAAGCATCTAATCACGAATCATGCATTTTTTATCAACATATATAGGGTTGGAGACTTGACTCAACCATTAAGAGCATTTATTTCTCTTGTAGAAGACTGGGTTTGATTCTAAACACCAATATGGTGGCTCACATACATACACCTAACTCCTATTTCAGGGATCCAACACATATTTAATAGGCCCCCTAACCCTAGGAATGTATGTAGCACACATACATGCATCATAAGTCCAAACAAAACAGTAACACACATAAAATCAATCTTAAACAATAGCTTATAAAGGACATATAGACCCCCTTCACCCACCCCTACTCAAACTTCTCCATTCCCAGTTGGCAGACTCTTTGTACCCCTGTCCCCAGCCCTTACACACTTACTTTTCCAGAATGCCATAAAATGGATCCCTGAAGCAGAGACTTCACACTTGTCTTCTTTCACATTGTCTCAGCATTCCATTCTGCTCTTCAGTCAATGCTGTGCCTATCAATAGCATGTCAGATCCACTGCTGGTGAGATTCTAAGAGACTGTATCCACAGCACCACTGATACAGAAACAGCACTCTGAATTCAGAAGCATGCAAGCACCCCATAGTCAAATGTTATACAAAGAAGTTGTGAAAAGCTGGCAGGAAACTTGTGGAGAAGTGAGAGGAGGAAGAGGGTTGTGGCAATTGGGGTGTTCCGGTAACGGTTAGGTGTCTTTTTTTTAAAGTTAATCAGAAGGAAACTATTTTATGTGGCTCACTGCCTGTAATCTTGCTTAAGCCTACTGATTAGTATAGGAACATTTTGAGTCAGAAGCCTTGGGGACATTTGCCCTGGTAAAGTGGTATAAGAACTAGGCAAGTGCAGACTTGTGGTCCAACTTGTCTCTTGTGTAGAGAGGGTGCGTTTGCCTTGTCATCAGCTTGGGGACATTTGAGTGATTGCAAATGTTCCATTTTTTTTTACAGTGATCTTTAATGCTGCTACAAATATGCACATAAATGTTTCTTTTTTTTTTCTTCTTAAACCTTAAATGCAGGCTTTCATTCCAGCATTGAGTATGTGGGTCGGATGGGGGCACATCACCATATTGTAGACTTCCTGGACAAACAACTTCATTTACATCAGCATCTAATTCATCAACTTCCTGTTATTTAGTGATTTTTTTGCCCAAGACGTGTTCACAAACGTTCTCCCCACTTTGTAAAGAATCCAATGACTTTACAATATTGAGCTTCGTGCTCCGGTCTACAGTTCATCTTGAGTCTTGTTGTTAGCAGACAGATACCAGGTTGTTTCAGTAGCAGATACTGGAGCGGTGCCACATTCTCGCTGTCTAAAAACTGTACATCTCTGTTAAATATCTGTTGACCATGAGTGCTTGATATCATTTCTGGAGTCTTTTTTTTTTCGACTGTATTGTTCTGTTTACTCATTTGCTAACACCAGGCTGTCTTTATTTCTGTTCTCATAAGTCATGAGATGAGGCAGCGTGTTCTTTTTGAATTCGACCCTTCTTCAGAATAATTTTTTAATGTTCTAGTTTCTTTTTAGTTTTCTTAAGTACTTTTTAATAATTTGATGCTATGATTTTTTTTCTGAAGGCAATCAGTACCCCCTCCACCAGGAAGTGATACTGTGTTGCATATATACACTTGTTCAGGAGTTGTTTACACATGAGCAACATTGAGTGTTCTAGTTTATCATGTGAAGCCTTTACTTATATTGTTCTGTTATTAAATAAAACTTAGGAGTCAGATAATGGGGTAAAAACCTGATTGATCAGAGAAGCAGTAGATAAGTGTCCAGTGACCTCTCTCTCTCCTTTCCAGACACAGAAGGGCTTGCAAACCTTTCTCAACCCCTTCCTACTACTTCCTGTGTCTCTCTATTTGTATCCTGGGTCCTCCAAAGTCTCTATGGCTAATTCTGGTCAGCTAGTCACTAGCTTCACCCCTGATTCAATATTAAACTTTATTGCCAGTCTTGGAGTGTGAGTGTGAGCAAATACCTCAGAACAATTATGTGTTTAAATCTGTATTGATTTATTTCCTTTTTTATGTTAAAAATTTTATGCATATGAGTGTTTTGCCTGCATAAATATCTGTGCATCAAATGCATTCCTAGTGCACATCAAGGTCAGGAAAGGATGTCATATTCCAGAAACTGGAATTCTAGATGGTTGTAAGGTACTATATGCGTGCTGGAATCAAACCCAGGTCCTCTGCAAGAGCAACAAGTACTCTTAACAACTGACCCAACAATCTAGCCCTGCCCTGATTTCTTCATAACTTTAAATGTAGTTAATATTGTGCTGATTATGAACCTTTTTTAGCTTTATAATTTTGTGGTTTTTGTCATTACTGTAAATGGTGCTGTCTTAGACTTTAATTTCCATTTGACAAGAAAAATACAACTGACTTTACCATGCTGACATTGTATCTTGCAGCTTTGTAATTTCATTTTTTATATCCAGTAGTCTTTTGTAGATTTGTCATAATTTTTGCAGATAGAAGTGCGTCATCTGTGATGAGAAACACTTCATCTGTTTTCAAGAAGTGTAAGCCTTCTTTTATTTCTTTAAGAATCTAATTTTATGTATATGGCTCTTTTGCCTGCACGTTTGTTCATCACATGAGTGCCTGGTACCTATAGAGGACAATTAGTCCCCCAGAACTGGAGTTGGCACAGTTGTAAGCTACCTTGTGAGCGCTGGGAATTGAACCTGTGTCCTGTGGAAGAGCAACAAGTGATCTTAAGTCCTGAGGAATGTTCCAGCTTCATGACCCTATTTCTTTATCCTTGGTGGACCTCCTGTGAAATCATCCTGGAACAGAGATCAGACATCCTACTCCTGCTCCTGATTGCTGCGAAAGCATTCATAACTACACCCTTGGGAGTGAAACAGTGTGTAGTTGAATTTATTGTTTTGTTTTTAATTGATAACTTTTATATGGTTGAGGAAGTTTCTCTAATTCCTATTTTTGCATAATTTTGCTGTGTATTGATATTTCTATTTTCCTCTTTTCTTAGTATGTTAATAGGTCTAAATAAACTGAGTTCTCCCTAATATTTTCATTATTCCTAACCAGAGCACTTTCTGGAGAGAAATCCAGCCGACTGTTGTTGTTTTTCACTGTGATCCTCACTCCTTTAGGTTTCTGCCCTTTCATGATTCACCCTCAGTTCAACAACCAGAAGACCCCTGAGAAGTTCTGTTTTTAGCATCTCTAGTCTTTTTTCTACCATGGCCATCCTTTATGGACCAGGGCCTTCTTTGAAAGGGGTTTGCAGTGCTCTTTCAGATACTTGTAGGGGATTGTAAAGTGGATGTTTTTGCTAAGTTTCTTTAATTTTTCTTAAGAAATTCTCCAAGTTGAAATTCTTATATTAATATTTTTCAGGTAAAAAGCTCCAAGAAAAATATCTCAGAATTGTCTCCCCCATGCCTAGGCTTCACTGCTGCTGTGCAGTGATCATCGTCCTCACCGTAGCTGTGGTTGCACTTTCTGTGACTTTGTCATTGTCAGGTGAGTGACATCTCCAGATCCTGCAGCATTCTGTCCACATCCACACTGTCAGTTACACTTATTGAACATAGTGAGCCAGGTCCTCTGTGAAGGGCAGGAAAGAAAACACACTGGAAATTCCTGATCTCTGGGAACTTAGGGTCTAGCCGGAAGATGCAGTGAAGGAACAGCACAGACTGTGGTGTACACAGGAGACCAGACTCAGCATCCCTGGGAAGAGGACATTCAGCAAACTCTAGAGAGATGTGGAAGACAAATGCCTACATGGGGAAACTATTCATTGCAGAGGACAAGAAGAAAAAAAAAAACCCAAGTATCAGCCTCAAGGAAACTGCTGCAGCTAGGGGTAATGAGGGCAGTGAAGAGTAATATGGTTGGGGATGGTAAAGAACCACCATGATCCATGGTTTATGTTAACATCTTCAACTATAGTCTGAAAATATTAAAGAGAATGTTCCAGAAATATGCTGTTGCTGAGCCTCTAGTTTTAGACTATTCTAAATAATTTGATAAAATCTTGTACATCTTTCCTGCCACATCTGGAGTAATGATTCATGATATTGTTTTATAAAATCAACTTTAACCATGTCAATGAATAATATACAAGTCTAAACATGGACAAACACTTGCCTACAAGAGTTAGTATGTATAATCTAAACTTTTACATGGCTCTACATAACAATCACCCTCAGGGCCTGTTGCATTTGTTCCTTTCATTAAAGCCTTGTGGTAGTGTGTATAAGAATTGGGAACAGCTACAACAAATTGCTCTCCACTAAAAATAAGTGTGTGAGTGTAATTTCTAGTATTTAATATTTCTTATCAAATCATTTATTTATATCCTCAGTAGCCCTTTCACAAGTCATGTAGTCATTCTTACCTGTCAAAGTAGAAAAAAGAAAAGTTATGAAATAAAAATACCTGTTATTTTTCTAAATGGTTCTTTGAAACTTTGCTGCCTTAAGAGTTTCACACACACACACACACACACACACACACACACACACACACACTCCCTTTGTTATGATGTACTCACAAATGAACATTAGCATAGCCACTTAAGCACTTGGCACGTCCCAAACCCTATGAATCTTATTGAACACAGAATAACCGTTCAGAAGCCATGGAGCTTTGGTTAAGATTTAGACTTTCACTTTATTTACATTTTTATATACTTATTAGTCACAAACTAGAAAAAAAAAACACATCAAAGTTGAAACTAGAAAATCCATGCTCTTTATAGCCCTATTCATGGCTTATGGGCCCTTTGCTGAATCCTGTTCTTGCTAATCACCTTACATCACTCTTCCTTGTTCTCCTTTCTACATGTTATGCCATGCTCACACTCAACAGCTGTCCACACTGTTCATTATGGGCTGAGACAAGCATCTGAGGAAGTGCATGGTGTCTCTTTCTTTCTGGGCTTGTGTGACCTTGTTTAATATTATACTTTCTAGGTCCACCACTTTTTTACAAGCTTCATTTTTCTTTATGTCTGAATAACTTTCTGTTTTATTCAGATATTACAATTTCATTACCTGTTCATCAGTTAATGTCTAGGTCAGGTCTATTTTTCTCCTATTGTACATGGACAACAAGTCTTTGTGTTATGATGTAGTGGTCTCTTATATATGCCCAAGAGTGGCAGAGCTGTGTCATAAAAAGTCTATTTGTAACTTTTTAAAGGAGCCTCCATACTGGGTGTATCAGTTTATACTCGCACCAGCAATAAATAAGTGTCCCTTCTGATATATTCTGTGAGATTTCTTGATAATTGCCATTCTGACAGCCTCTAACGAGAGCTAGCATATATTCATATGGATTTAATGTATGTGTATATGATAACAGAAAGTCTTTAAGCAAGGTTTTGGTATCAAAACCTGTTTGAATATGCCATGTTTGCATGCTGGTATTTGTCCATAGTTAAATCCAGAGAAGTGAGGAGTTCTCTTTATTTTGTCATTACAAAAGTAGGAAAGACAGATCAGATCTCACGCAACAATATCTATGCTGTTTGCCCAAGAAATTGGATTGGATTTGGAAATAAATGTTTTGATTTTTCTGAAGACATGGAAAACTGGACATCCAGCCAGAACTACTGCAGGGCATTAGGGGCCCAACTAGCTCGATTTGACAGTCAAGAGGAGCTGGTAAGAAATGATCAAAATTGGTTTGTTGTTTGTTCTGTTGACTATTTACTGCCTTAAGATAGGGACCTTAAGGCTGCTGCATGAGGAAAGATTTCACCCTAGGCATACAGGGGACAGGGGGGGACACATATTAGTATGTACCATTTGTGATAGTTACACACTCACTGTCACCCTGAGATACTCCAAAGACATTCTCTCCTGTAATGCTAATAGTCAACCTGCATGGCCAGACATTCATTTGACTGAGAAACATGATTGTTATAAGGAGGATGCTTGTTCTTCCTGGCTTCCAGCTTAGCTTAAACCCAAAATAATCACACAGAAACTGTATTATTTAAATCACTGCTTGGTCTATTAGCTTTAGCTTCTTACTGGCTAACTCTTACATATTAATTTTACCCATTTTTATGAATCTGTGTATTGCCATGTGGCAGTGGCTTACCGGCAAAATTTCGGCATATCTGACTCTGGCAGTAGCTCCATGGTTTCCCTCTGATTCTACCCTTCTTTCTCCCAGCATTCAGCCTAGCTTTCCCTGCCTTTCTAAGTTCTGCCTTGCTATAGATCCAAAGCAGTTTCTTTATTCATTAACCAATAAAAGCAACACAGTGACAGAAGGGCCTCCCATACCACAAGTAAGTATACATGTTCATGTAATTCTTTGTCCAAATTGGCAGGTGTTACAAACTTAAGGTGACAGCCATTAATAACTGTAAATACTGATTTAACAAGGGACTTTCTCAGCCACAGAAGGAAGGGTAGTTGTCAGTGTACTATGGGTTCTGGCTATAAAATATATACACTGAGAACTGAGGATTATTTAGGTTCCAAAGTCAATTACTCTAAGTTCAAACCTGTTGACATCCTGAAAAGAAGCTGTAGTTTGGAGACACTCAATGGTATCTGAAGTTGAGAGACATTTATTTGTTTTCTGTGTTTTATAACAGAATTTCCTGAAGAGATACAAAGGATCTTCTGATCACTGGATCGGCCTACACAGAGGGTCATCAGAGCAGCCTTGGATGTGGACAGACAACACTGAATATAACAACTTGTATGTTTTCAGAATGCATTTTCTCCTACTGTGTTCAACTGTTGTGATTGAGTGAGCTGTGGTTGTGAAAGGTGAAAGACTGGGTCATGTGAAGGGAACTGTACTGATATGGGAAAAAAAACCCTTGTTTAAGGAGCAGTGGGTTGTTTTTTTATCCCGCCCGGCTCCAGGCTGTCTGGCTAGCTTTACGCAAAATAATTACACAGAAACTGTATTCATTTAAACACTGCCTGACCTGTTAGTTCTAGCATCTTATTGGATAATTCTCACATCTTGATTAATCCATTTCTAATAATCTGTGTAGCACCATGAAGTGGTGGCTTACCGGGAAAGATTCAGCTTGTCTGACCTAGCGTCTGGCTCCATGGCATCTGCCTGACTCTGCTTCTTTCTCCCAGCATCCTGTTTGGTCTACTCCGCCTATCTAATTTTCTGCCCTGTCAAATGGCCAAGGAGGTCTCTTTATTTAACCAATGAAAGCAACTCACAGAAAGAAGACCCTCCTACATCACACCCTTGGGCTGGAGGTGTGCCTTGGTGTTGGTTGTGTGTTACATGCAATAGCCAGTCCCCAATAAACTCCATATCCCAATGAATTTTAATCCATTAGCTTTACTTAATGTTACTTTACTCCAAGTCTTTAGCCTGATGATGGCATATGGGGTAGATGCTGTCTGCTATCACTACTTAAAAATCTTTCCTTACTGCTAACTGCCCTTGTGGGATGCAGACAGAACTACTGATGGCCACTAAGGGATCTGAAACACCAGAAAGCCACTGCAGAACTGCTGGACAGGATTTGTCAGACAGCTGTGTGCACAGCTGCTCCTATCACAGAAATGGACTCCAGGGGCATTGGTAATATTCTCTAAAGTCTCATCATCAAAGAGCACCCAAGACAGCACTTGGATGTGAGCATATCCATTTTGAACAGACCCATTTCACTGGAACGGTGAATGTCCATCAGTAAAGACCTTTAGAATTTACTAAGTGCATTTTCTTCCACTTTCACACATGTAAAAGTACTTCAAGGTAGAATTGAAAACCATCCTTGGGATGCTACTCATGGCTGAAGTTCTTGTGAACATGGTAGCAAGCACCTGTCAAATGCTTTTTACACACACTACATGATTCAACATGGATGAGTAACAAAGGTGTGCTCATCAAATGGAACCCTGAGAATGGAAAAGTCACTTGGTATAACACTAATGCTGGTGATCCTCATGGACTCTGCCTGTCTGTGATTTGTGCTATAAACAAGCAATGGACACGAGTGAGATATCATAGCTGGGGGGAATGCACTGGTCGACTGCAGAAATTTTGTTTGTTTTTTTGTTTTAGGGTTTCTACCCGAGGAGAAGGACAACATGCCTACCTGAGTGACAGAGGAATCAGCAGTGGCAGGAACAACATACATAGGAAGTGGATTTGTAGCATGTCCAACATTTATATTTTACAGTGTCCAGAAGTTTCACAGCTTGTGTAGAGAGTGTGTCAAAGTCATCACGAGAGATCTGGATCATGTTATCTACAGTTACAGCTTCATTTATTTATCTTATAAAATGTTGTAGGAAGAGCGGGCTGCGTCCCACCACCTGGCTAGCTTAACCTCCAAAATAACTACACAGAAATTTTATTAATTAAATTACTGCTTGGCCCATAAGCTCTAGTCTTTTATTGATGAACTCTCACATCTTAATTCAACCCATTTCTAGTAATCTGTATGTCACCACAAGGTCGTGGCTTACCAGGAAAGATTCAGGATGTCTGATTCTGGCAGCTCCATGGCAGCCCTCTCTGCATACCTTCTTTCTTCCAGCATTCAGTTCTCTTTTCCCCACCTATCTAAGTTCTTCCCTATCAAAAAGCCAAGGAAGTTTCTTTATTTAACCAATGAAAGCTACAAAAATACAGAAGGACCTCCTACAGCATTTCCCCTTATCTGTTAAACAAAAAGAAATGCTTTCACTTTAACATAGTAATATTACACATAACAAAACAGTTATTAAGCAAGAATTACAGTCACAATATTTATATCTATTTTTTTCTTTTATCATAACAAAGGAAAATTATAACTCTATCTATTTTTCAACTCCATCAAAGACTCCAGAAGGATATAATGTTACCTAAGTAAATAGGAAGTACATTGTAAGCAACTCCCAAAACTCTTGAAGTGACAGCAACATCTTGCTTCCTGGACAGTCCCTCAAAGTTATTTTGTACAATTGAGGCACCCATTTTCAGCCTACAGACCCATATTATCCAGCAGACTTTTTCATGAAGCAGGAAATTTTAAAGACAGTTCAGTCACTTTCTTCTGTGTTCTGCAGAATGTGTTGCAGACTCTTTCATGAATCAGGAACCCCAAAGGAACATCTCAAATTTAGGCAAGTTCAGCAGTCCTCTCTCTGCGGGTTCTTCATGTCCAGTTTATGCAACAGTCCAGGCAGGAGCAGTTTCTTGCCTAAATGGCTAACCAACTCCATAAGGAGCCTTTTCGATGCCCATTTTTCTCTTGAAGTAGATTGGTGTTGCCAGAAGCAGACATGTCTCAATGTCATGAAAGGCCCTAAGTTATTAAAACATTTTAAATGCCATATTATGTAGTCTTTGCAAGATATGAAGAATGCCTATCCATCTGAAATATATCTATGCACATCTAGAAAATCTAACTAACATGACTACAAATTTGACTGTTACAGAGGATTATCTATTAACCTATATTTCTTAATTAAACATTACATTTTTAAATGAACTACACAGTCATAATACCTTAATCAGGAGCACAAATATACATATAACAAGATTGACCTTAAATTTATATCAATAAAGCAAAATCCATACCAATGCAAATTATTCATATCTATATCATATTCCCCTTTAAATGTAAAAGAACATTTATAAACAATATTTGGGAATATGGGCACAGTTTTTTCTCTCCAAACTGCTTCATGCTGTAGGGAGCTCTGTTAATCAGGTCTTTCATAGTGTATCCTATGTGCTAGGTTCATCTCAGTCAGCAGTTGAGCAAAGTAAGTTTTTGAGGGTATTCACAGCAACCTTTCAGAAGGGCATGGTCTATCTTACCATATTGGTCTAGAAGCAATCCACATGGTCTCATCTTCTGTGAAAACAAAAGAAGAACTTCTTTTCCAAAGCACCATATCGTTAGATCCAAATTTGAAAGTCATGATACCTTTAGAACATGCATGCTGGTTTAACTTAGCAGACCACACAATGAAATGTCTCACTGTATTTAGCTCCTTCACAGTCAAAAAATTAAAAAAAAAAACACAATAATACAAAGAATCCAGACTCTCTGTGAATTATTTTTACTCTATCACTTTGTTTTGTCTCTTTAAAGAATTTTACCTTTTTTAAAAAAGCATTAACTTTATATTATGACTCTGTATACTCTTTATCTTTTCACTCCCAAGCCTACGTGGTTTACTTAACACCATGACCCATTTGGAGGTCTTTAATGTCTGAATCTGTCCTATTGTGAATCTGTAATTCTTTACTATCCAGGAGCACTTCTTAAAATGCTAAGCACTTTTTTAAAACTTAAGTTGCACCATGTAGGGGTAATACAGTACTGTCTGTTTCCTGCCCAGTCTAAACATTAACTGTGCTGTTATTATGATAATTATGATAGTTCCTGCCTGAGATCAGCACAGTTCAGCATGGCGGAGCCACTCTTGCCTCAGAGACATTTTGTGCCCCTGAGCCACGCACAGTTCCAGGCACACAGGAGTCCACATTGCCATCGAGCAAGTTGTAACACTTTACTCATAAAACCCCATCCAAATTCTCTATCTCCTACAAGAGAGAGAGGTTGTGCTAGGAGCATAGCCCAAAAAGCCAGCATTTAAAAACCGTCACGGCTATTTTACTGTTGCGGTTGCTGAGTGAGGAAATTCTCTCTGCAGCACCCTGCCAGCAAACAGCAAAAGTTGTGTTAAACTCTGTTTTTTTCTGTGTGTCTAGAATTCCTTCTCAAGCCTTCTCAGGCTTTATGTGATATTAGTTGGCCTTGTTGGGCAGCCACTCTGTTGTAGGAGGAGTGGGCTGCATCCCACCATCTGGCTAGCTTAACCCCTGAAATAACCACACAGAAATTTCATTAATTAAATTACTGCATGGCCTACACGCTCTAGCCTCTTATTGGCTAACTCTCACATCTTGATTCAACCCATTTCTAATAATCTGTGTGTTACCACGAAGTCGTGGCTTATCAGTAAAGATTCAGCATGTCTGACTCTGGTGACTCCATGGCAGCTCTCTCTGCCTGCCTTCTTTCTTCCAGCATTAAGTTTTCTTTTCCCCACTTATCTAAGTTCTTCCCTATCAAAGGCCAAGGCAGTTTCTTTCTTTCTTTTTTCATGAGAAAAAAGACTGTATTTATTTTTATAATCATTATACATTGAAACAGTGATACTGTTATTCAACTTTAATTTTTTTATAATTAGTAAGCTAAGGTTTTTATTTCATGTAATATTGTGAATGCTTAATATCTGTACGTCACATGCGAAGTTAAAACATACAGGGCAGACTCAAACTGGCAATTTTATTTTATTTTATATTTTTAGTTTATTTATTTATTAAAAATTCCCACCTCTTCCCCTCCTCCCATTTTCCTTCCCCTCTCCCCTCCCCTCCCCCGCCCTCTCCAGTCCTAAGAGCAGTCAGGGTACCCTGCCCTGTGGGAAGTCCAAGGCCCTCCCCCCTCCATCCAGGTCTAGGAAGGTGCGCATTCAAACAGTCTAGGCTCCCAAAAAAAGCCAGTACATGCAGTAGAATCAAAACCCAGTGCCGTTATCATTGGCTTCTCAGTCAGTCCTCATTGTCAGCCACATTCAGAGAGTCCGGTACAATCACATGCTCATTCAGTCCCAGTCCAGCTGGCCTTGATGAGCTTCCATTAGATCAGTCCCACTGTCCCTGTGGGTGGATGCACCCCTTGCAGTCCTGACTTCCTTTCTCATGTTCTCCTTCTTTCTGCTCTTCATCTGGACCTTGGGTGTTCAGTCCAGTGCTCCAACGTGGGTCTCTGTCTCTATCTCCATCCATTGCCGGATGAAGGTTCTATGATAATATGTAAGATATTCACCAGTGTGGCTATGGGAGAAGGCCAGTTCAGGCGCCCTCTCCTCTGCTTCCCAAGGACCTAGCTGGAGACATCTCCTTGGACACCTGGGAACCCCTCTAGAACCAAGTCTCTTGCCAACCCTAAAATGGCTCCCTTAATTAAGATTATCTTCTTTCCAGCTCCCATATCTACCTTTCCTCTATCTCAACCATTCTATTCCCCCAAGGTCTCCCCAATCCTCCACCTTTCCCTTCCCTCCACTTTACCCCCACCCCCATGTTCCCAACTTTTGCCTGGCGATCTTGTCTATTTCCAATATCCAGAAGGATAATTATGTTTTTCTTTGGGTTCACCTTCCTATTTAGCTTCTCTAGGATCACGAATTATAGGCTCAATGTCCTTTGCTTATGGGTAAAATCCACTTATGAGTGAGTCCATACAATATTCATCTTTTGGGGTCTGGGTTATCTCACTCAGTAAAGTGTTTTCTATTTCCATCCATTTGCATGGAAATTCAAGATGTCATTGTTTTTTTAACTACTGAGTAGAACTCTAAAGTGTATATGTGCCACACCTTCTTTATCCATTCTTCTATTGAGGGGCACCTAGGTTGTTTCCAGGTCCTGGCTATTACAAATAGTGCTGCTATGAACATAGTTGAACAAATGCCCAAGGCAGTTTCTTTATTCAAGCAATGAAAGCAACACAAATACAGAGGAACCTCCTACACCAATAAAATTATCAAAATCAATTCATAATCTGTGGTCGCATCAAAGATGAAAATTATCATAGATGACTATACTTTTGGCTTCTTGGGAGACTATGGGTGATTCTAAATTAAATAAGTGTTTGGTATAAGTTTGTACTCGTACCATAAACCTGAGTTACATTCATATCCATATTAGTGACCTCCATTTTATGACCAGATATGATTTTTTTTTCATTTCTTTTGAATGATTGGTACATTAAAAAAAATCCAGGGAAGATAGGATTGAGCCAGATGGGTGAATCACATGCCTTCTGTAGAGGACTAGAAGGAGAGGCAGAGATGTCAAGTCTCTCCCCACTCTCTCTCTCTCCACTGCCCTGGGTGTCCTGCAGCAGGCTCCATCACAGGTCTGCAATCACCAAGACGGAGTCTCTGACATGGGTGTTCTGGAGTGAGGCCCCACTGTTAGAAAGTCAGGGAAGAGTGGCAGAGAGAATGGCTCTATCTCCTGTAAATGTGCCCTGACACAGCTGTAATTCTGTTGTCAGAACTTAAAAAAAATATTTAAAGATTGATTCAAGATGGTGACTTGCAGTGTGGGATCTTGGTCCCAACTGGAGACACCAAGTTGTTCAACTGCCCTAAGGCCACAGGTATGATGCTCATACCCAATGAACCAGCAGGATGGTACTGATGGCACTGATGTGTAGAGTCCTGGAGCTCTAGTGGATCCTGCCCCCAGATCCCTTGCCCAGCCAAAAGATCACCTTGTCTCTGAGCAACAACAGGATGTCTGTGATGGAGACAATTCACTTACTGGATTCGACCTCCTGAAAAATATTGTACTGGCAGGGTGATAAGCAGC